TTTATTAAATCCAATCATTGACAGCTATGTCGTGACTTAATATTGGTTCAATATGCGGTCACAAAACAAACAGCTGTTCAAATGAGTTGTTAATTAATTATATTGAATATATTATTTTAATGCAAAATTTGTTTGTCCTGTTGATGACACTGGATATACATTCTATTTTTAAACATAATTGCTCACAACAAGGTCACACGTTAAACAGGATTGCTGATAGAGGAATTGCAACGGCCCAAGCAAGGTCACGGCCTATAATGACATTACTGATAGATGGCTGCATTAGTCAGGGGAACACCAGCGGGGGCGGGTGATTTTGGGCCAGAATCGGCCATCCTTATTTTCGAATATTTGATTCGTTCTTGACATCCTTGTTGAGAATAGTTTTTGTGTTAAACTGAAGGGTGGTAGCCAGGAGGGTGGTTTTATGGGTCGGAACCCCCCTTTTTGAAATGTAAAAAAAAGCATTATTCTGTGTTATACATGGCAATTTTGCGTAGCTTGAAATGGTTTTATGGTTTTTTCTGATCCTAAGATCGTAGTGAAGGATATACACCGCTAGATTGTATCTCGTGATTAACCTTTAAGCATTGTCCATGTCCCTCTTGTAACTTTGACGTCGTCGCGATGTGCAAGTTTCCTTCGAGAAATTTTCCACGCTATTGAGTCAGAGCGAAGGATACACGCCACGAGATCGTATCTCGTTACTTATAAGTAGTTTTTAAAGTTTAAGCAATGTCCGTATCCCTCTATCAGGTTCGAGGTTGCTGTGTTTGGATAGCCGTCGCAAACCCGGGTTAGCGCCGTTGTATTTGACACAAAATATAGGCTATTCGCTGGAAACTAATCGAAATAATCCAGTTCGGATTTGCAGAATTCTTCATAAAAGTAATTCCCCAAGTAGTATTTCGACGGCGACGTGGGGAGTTGGCTATTGTTTCCTACATTTTTTTATATTGGCTGAGAAATAATCGAAACAATCCAGTCTGAGTTTGCAGAATTTTTCGAATCGAAACCGCAGTTTCTGTTTTGGGGTATCCCCTAACTTTCGATTGATAAATCTTTGGTCTCTGACTGATATTCTCGTATTCTAACTTGACAAATATGAATTTCAATATCTTGATGGTTGTATTTTGAAGTCTTCAATCCGATTGAGTTCGTATTTAGTACAGCCAATATAGATTTTCAAGATTTTTATAATTACTTATCGATCTTGATCGGTGAGTATGTTGATAGGTATTTGTCTGTTTGTTTGTTTGTTAGTCTGTCTGTTAGATACACACGATATCTCACGAAAGCGAGGTTGAATCTGCTCCAAATTTTGTATGTGCAATTATCTTATCTTGGACCAGAAGTCTATTGATTTTGGATGAATTATGTTGTATAATTAGCGAGTTATTAATCAATTAGTGATTGGACACACGGTGTCGCTATGGAGTAAGATCGGATGAATCGAAACCGCAGTTTCTTTTTTGGGGTATCCTCTCACTTTCGATCAATAAGTCTTCGGTCTCCGATCAATATTCTAGTTTAATAGGATTTCCACATCGAACATGGTCTTATAAGAGCCACTGATATATTCAGAACCATTTTTGAAAATATCAAAATCTTTGTTTGTATTGATGTTATTAACATTCATTAATTTGAAGTAAGCAGTAGGTTTTTTGATCTTATTGAATGCAAAATTGAGATTGTTAGGGTATTTTATATGAAACAACTCTTGATATCTGTCATCCTAAAAAATAGTTTAATAAACTCTTTTATTGCCAACATAGTCAGGCCCAATACTATTACCATCATACTCGTCATTCGACGATGAACCATCACACTTAATAATAATGTTCTTTTGCCAGCCGGAGATTGAGGTTCAAGAACCAGAAAAAGATAATAATATGGCAAGTTTAAATTCACACCCATCCATCAAGCCATCTCATTATGTTATTTTTGGAATGTTCACCTTGAATTTAGGACAGTGTTTCCAAACTTATGAGTCGCGACCCAAAACTGGGTCACCTATAAATTTTCCGACCGATTGATTACCTCGGGTGGGTTATTATGGGGGGTAAACTTGATATGAATGATCTGACTTTTCATCATTTATCTTCTTCCGAATAAATGTAAATATCCTGAGGCAGTGGTTCCCAAGTTGTTTTGTTAAAATTCTTCCCCTTGCCTATTTTAGATCTTTTTTATTCACTCATCGATTTGCATAAAAAGTACCATATTTATTCAATCTTCAATGGACCCTTTGCTAGTATTAAGCACAGCACACTCTCGTTTTTAGACAGTTTGGACAGTTTTTTATGCGTTCACCGTAGAATATTAGTGATATACCACAGAGAAAACTAAATTACATCCCTGAAATGACAATATTCATCCCTTGGACTCCTTACCAGTTGAAAAACGTTGGAAAAAGCTATCTTCTTCAGGATTTTGTATTTCCCAGAATCAAAAGTATTTAAATCTCAACATAAGATGTGAAATAAACCTTGTTGTAAATAAAATTATATTTGTCACAGCCTATGGAACAAAATGAAGCAGACCCGGAGGAAGAAATGGCAAGTTATATTGTCATCTCATTTGGAATACTCATTTCATTTCTAGCCCTGTATTGTTTGGAAAGATCATTTCATTTAAAACCTTGTATTTCATTGTAACTCCATACAGCCGTTTTATCTGTATCCCCATGATATGGACAACTGATAAGTTGAATTAAACTTTATTTTCGAATATGTAGCACGAACATACAAGAGCCATGGGCATTACCAAGGAATGACTGTCTGCACAAACCCAAATAATATTTACAGTTGTGATCAGTGGAGCATAAAATTCGATAATAATTTAACAATAGTGATTATTGTAAAAAAGAGCACAGAAGTCTTATAGGAAGCCGTTAAACTTTTATATTGCAAACATTGTACCTGTAGCAATTAATATGTGGTTTTCATATATTTGGATAAATACTTGGTTATATGAAATATTCTTTGCAGTAAATTTCAAACCTAAATACGGTAAACCCATTTTCATCCTTCCTCCACCATCATGTCCATGCATCTGAAAACAAATAACTGGCTAACTAATCCCATACCCATCCTGGAATGGTAACCGGATGAGAGGCCGTGGTTCTTCATACGATTAAGTTGTCCTAAGGGCTTTACTCTCCCCCGAGATGAATATGTAAATCCTTTCCTATATACACTTTATTTATTTTTATTTTGGGAAGTACAATAAAATATCATCACTCATCAAATTTTATCTAAACAGCCATTTCTTATCTTGTCATCCAAGTTTCTTTTACTGGCATGCATGACCTAAGGATTATAAAATGATTCATTGTCCTGATAACTTTATACAATGTCAAACTTTTTTATTTTCAAATTTTCAATACTAGACATGACTGAACTGCAGTTCTTACAAAAACTTAGTAATCAGATAGATATTCGTAGCTATAATGTAATGAATTCTTTCAATGAACTCCGTTCTAAGGGTTACACGAATAATAATTTTTCTAAGAAATATTCAATTCAAGTTGAAGAGAGTTGAAATTTAGTACAGTTTCAGTACAGTAAAAATTAATCAAATGTACTTTAGATTAATTATCTTATATAACATCACAAACCGGGGAAAAGTCGCGTTTCCAACCTTGTATAATGTTAAACTTACACTAATGATAATTTTTTTGAAAAGTATTCAATTCAAGTTGAAGAGAGTTGAAATTTATAATAATACTTTGTTAGAAAGAATAGTTGCAATGCCAAATTAAAGTGACATCTTGTGGGTGCTACCATAGCGCCACATATAACGCTATCGCTAAAGCACCGTCCCCATCTCCCACTGACAAACAAACCCCTAATCAGATGCAGTGTGATGACTAAACTGAGCTAGGGTCAGACCCATATCATGCATCGCTAAATTAAATGAATTGAAACAAATGATATCAAACATTATGGATTGAAAATGCAGGTTAGACCTTACGTCAGTGGTTCCAACCTTTTAGGACTTGTGATGATTCATGCTCAACAAAGTGAAAATAGAATCAGTTTTGCGCCTAGCACAGTGGTCCTCCCAACAGCCCTATGGTTTCTTGGGGGCCTCGGCCCGCGACGCTTCACTAAATTATAGTAACAAACATCTGTTTTGACGAATATGTTCTTTGTGACTAAATTTATTTATATTATAACTTAACAATTATATATTTTACAATTACCCGTTTAATGAGCATATAATTTAATTATAATTAAGCAAATGGCAACAAAACGCAGGAAAGTGGATGCTAAGTGCAAAGGGTTCAATGGTGCTGAAAATATTCAAATGGAATTTTATGAGATGCAATGAGGAAATAAATCTATATTCTATCTGATAGATGTATCACTGCTTGATTTTTATTATAAAAAGTACTATCTGTTCGGTTTTTCAACTTTCCAAAGTGGGACCAATGACTTGCAACCCTTAATTTTGGCCCACGAGCGACAAAAGGTTGCCGACCCCTGCAATAGTATTAGGTATTAGCTTGAGGTAGATCTCACTCTAGTTTGAGTATAGTAGCACAAACTCTTGTCTGCATGTTACTATTGTTTTGTACCGTATTGTCATATGTAAAACATATAAACAACATATCTTATCATATGTCATTGAGTATTTTTTATCACACATATTATGAAACATCTACAGTTCATTACATACAGTTTCTTATCTGCATCTGCACATGGATATTCTTGTCTAGTTTCAAGTATGTTTTGCCATGCATATTATGAAACATAGTTGAGCATTCACCTCGGAGTTCATGTGCCCTTTGCTTTGAGTGATTTTATTTGACAAAAACATCAATTATCGATTATTGGGAAATATAGATAAACAGGAGCATACTCAGGTGTTGTGGTTTCGTTTTTTTTTAAGCTCTTTCACTCCTTTCCCTCTGATGGAAATACTTTTAGTTATATACCTATACATTGCCCTACTTTGCACTTTTCTAATCTCTCAAATCCTATTTTAACATTCAGAATCTCTCAACGCCGCCTCCAGCCAAGACGTCAACAAAAGAGAAAGAAAAGGAAAAACCAAAAGAAATTGAGTTGGCTAAACCTAAGAAAGGTAAGTTAGCCTATTGTTAGATTTCATATTATTTTGGTTTTTTATTTGGAATAGTTTATTATCCAGTGTTAGCTGTCAATGATTCACATTGATTGAATATACATGAGAAGCTCTTGCTAGAGCAAAGTTTGTTTTTATCAGGTATAGTCACTTTACAGCAGTGGTTCCCAGTCTGTGGTACGTGTACCAGTAGTGGTACGCGGGAGCTTTTTAGGTGGTACACGATCAGCTTTGAATTATTGCAACAATTAACTTTTAAGTTGGCTAAAATATGGCGAAAACAATTTCTCTTTATCTTACATACTAAATGTATTCGCTGAACAGGTTTATAGGGTTGGGTTACCAGTCCTTGTCTTTAAAGATCGCCCCCGCCTGTACTACTTACGTAATAGGAAACGAGAAGAGCATGTTTTTTCTTGTTTTACATGTTACGCCCACATTGCATCTGCATTAAGAAATCGACAACAAAGGGAGCGTTCTGTGGGAGTGTTCGCCGTGTGTCGAGATACCCTAATAGAGCCCCTTGATACATCATAAGGATGCTACTATTGCTACTCGATGTATGTGTTGGATGATTGGCATAATCTTGAGTTTTTGGGGTTAATTAAATTTGGAGACTAGGTTAGGCAGTTCGTGATAGCGGCTAGTGACAACCAAAGTGTATTCGTCCGAGTTTTTCCCTAATTCGATTCGTTTTGCGATGATTAAAGCATTTCAGCTTTGACAGTTGACGACGCAAATTTTCTCGCAATTTCGCACATAATTAATACGTTGTTACTGCATATAATTAATACTTCGAAACTCGCATGAAAGTCTAAAAATGGATGTAGTGCCACATAAAATACTACCATAGCGCGTTTCTTGTGCCATTGTCCCCACCACAAATGGGGTTTTGTCGGTGGTACGCAGCCAGAGTAAAAAACTCGAAAGCGGTACGCGGCCAGTAAAAGGTTGAGAACCACTGCTCTACAGCATATAAACTATATCGTATCGCTCGTATCTCTCCCCCAGTCTATACCAAATTGACTTCTGTATTTTGTATACATTTTGTTATACCTCTCTGATAAAAGCTAAAAGCTATGTTATATCAAGCAAAAGCTAAAGCTTGCTGGGTCTCGTATTATGTAGAATAAGATTATGATTTAGTTGTGGTCGTTGTTGTTAATATAAACCAGTGGTTCTCAACCTGGGGCCGGTGGCAGTTCGAGGGGGGCCACGACCCGAGTCTAATAGTTGATCATAAAGCGACTTCGACCTCATACTTTTAAAATAAAATTCTCTGTTTAGGCTTTCACCGCAGTTTCATTACCTGAACAGGTTATTTGCGATCACAGGGTGTATTCTGTGCGTGAATTGTTTGATCATAATGGAATTTAAAATCTATCGTACAAAATAGTTCGCTGGTAGGCCGTCTAAACTGCAGATGGGCGGTTTTGCTAGTCTGCGAGATAACCTTCAGTATCGTATTATAAACGCAAAAACCCATATGCAAAGTCCTAATGCCCAAAATACAAAAATGGAACGACAGATACGCTTTAAAAAAGTAAATAGAGATGAGAGAGAATGTGCTCAATGCTTGCATAGCCCGTATGTAATGAGCAATGAGTCATAAGTCCATCTAAACTCCAAAACCACCGCATCAAAAATCATCCCAAGGTAAAAACCTTTGACATTGATTTCTTAGCTGCCAAGCGAGTTAGATTTGACAAGAAAGTAACATTGGCAAAGATCAGGTTTCTGTCGGAGGAAACAAAATCTAGAAACCGTCTTGATGTTGACAGCGAAATTTGTCAGACTATATCAAAGTCGGTGCCTAATATAAGAAACCTCGCCAAATAGTCCCAAACACAAGATTTCCATTGATTGTATACTAAGAAGCTTTGATTTTTTTTGTCTGTAGTACAATCCAAAACGTCTGGGAATAGCGAATAGGGGGCGAACAATGGCCACGAGTGCAAAAAGCTGTCGAAAGGGGGCCACAACCCATAGAAGGTTGGGAACCACTAATATATAAACTCTTGATTGAAGCATCTTTATGACACAGCTCACATAAGGATCAACATAAAATACAAGAAATATTGAATGATGGATAGGTACTTCTTCGCGCACAGCAACATATACTTTGTGTGGGTTATATTGTTACTCTGGTATTGTTTATGAGTTTCCTGTCTACCATTTTTCTGTTGCTACTTTATACATTCAAAGTGGTAGCTTCAATCTTTTTATTTTTATGATTTGCTTGTTTTTTTTTTGTCATGGTCTCGTTAGTATTGTGTAAGGACCCTTATCAAGACATTGTTGCGAGAATCATCTCAGTGTCAGGTCTGAATCTTGTGTTATTTGAAAGCTGAATCCGAATTGATTCACTGCATCCCAGGTGGTGAATTTCCAGTAGGCCTATTCCAAGAACTAATGGCTCGACTTGATTCTTGCCTGCTCCATAAGCGTAGCTAGGGATCCCCTCTCCCCTCAACTACCTCCTCCTCAAATTTTCAACACTTTTTTTCAAATACATTAAATGCGCACGTCTTTTTACAGCACCAAAAAATTAATAAAAGAGATAAAATTAAATTTACTTTTATTCTAGCCGTGGATTACTGCAGAGTGAACTTTGATTATATAAGAGAGAATGAAGATGAGCTGGGATTAACAAAAGGAGAGATAATTATCGTTTCAAACAAGAATCCGGGTGACGATGGATGGTGGGAAGGGCAGAAGCTTGACAGCAATGGAAAGTAAGTGTTTTTTTTTACGATCCTAAACGTCCCTTTTGTCTCGAGCAAGTCAATGTGCGAGATGTCATATTCCATATATATCATATAGCAGTGGTTCTCAACCTTTTATGACTCGTGGCCCCTTTTCGGAGGCTTTTAGCGCTCATGGCCCCCACTTTAATATTCCAGAGGTATTAATAGGGTTATTTTCATTGATAGATTCCAAATATCATTATGTTAAAACAATTTGTACAAAAGAGAGCGAAAACACCCTGCGAAATAACCTTGTTAAGCAGCAAACTAGGAAAAACTGAGAGATTTCTTTTAAAGTGAAAAGTAAATTCAGATTTCAGCCCATCCTTGTGGCCCCCCTCCAACTCTTCTGTGGCCCCCATAGGGGGCCGAGGGCCCCCGGTTGAGAACCGCTGTCATATAGTTTGCAACCACCACCTGTGAAAAGTTCCATTCACGGCTGCAAACTTCTCTCATACTATACTATAATCTAAAAGGTTGTCAACCCCTGTTTCGCATGATGAAATGACTTTTTAGTTGTTACTCTATTGTCTGTTTGGCTTATGCCTTTCGTACCCAATTTTTCCAATGCATCATCATCTCTTAGAGTTCTCATATTCATTCAATTAATTCACAGAAAAATAAAAGGAGTGTTCCCAGATAATTTTGTTGTGGAACTGACACCAGAAGAAATACGAGAACATGAAAAGCAGTTGCAGGTATGTAATACAGATTACATTGTATGTTGTTATCCCGAGATCTCCTCTTTTAAGGTTTCTGAAATACTGAAAAATACATTAATTCTGAGTGCGATTTCCACAGTGCTAATCGCTTATATTTGATGATTGTTTACGTCAGTGTGAGGTGATTATTTAGGCCGTGAAATCTTTATAACGTGTTATTGGATTTTTACCTAACTAGTTGGACAGCCTGGCTGCACCCCTGTATACAACTAACTCCAAAGCGGCATAACCTTTGTAATATTTTCATTGTTTTTTTTCTCAAATAGAATTATTATATCTGTATCTCAATCGTCTCAAATCTGGTGTTACATCATACTTATTTACTTCCAATAATACTCCCAGTGCATTGTGTAATTTTTATAACACTGTCAACCTTACTTAGGATGGTAGTTTTTACGGTTTCATTACATTTGAACCCACGACAATTGTACCTGCATACTATTGCACCTATGGAAATTTTTTTTGTTTTAAGGATATTTGAATCCATACTAACCCTAACCCATGGGTTTTAGCACCCGCATATAGATATACACATGGGTTCAAATGTACGATCACCATTTTTTACGCACATTCGTGTCTATTTGTTCCTAATAAGGCATTGTACAAGCAGCTACTGATATGTAACAATATGTAGGAAGATTTTTTTCTCTTGGAAGGACCCATCCCCAGGGACGTAGCCAGAAAAGGTTAAGGGTCAAACGCCTACCCCTCCCCTTTTGCAATGTAAAAGTAAACCTTTTTCTGTATCATAGATAGAAATTCTTCAGAGCTTGAAACACTTTTTAGACTTGCAAGACTCGCAAAAACTCGAACCTGCTAGCTGTTTTGATCTAACTTGGTAATTCCCCCCCTTCGAAAATTCCTGACTACGTGTACTCCGCCAACCACTGCATTGAAAAATAATGTTCTTATATATATCATGTCATGTTATTTGCTAGTTATCATTCATTTTAAAATTGTATGTTGATAGGTACCGTATATGTTCGCGAATAGGCCGAGTTTAAAACTCAAAAAAAAGTTGCCAAACTAAGGGACCGTCTTATTCGCGCATAACTCAGATTGCACCAAAGAATCAGCTCATTCGCGCATCAGAATTTGATCACGCAGTGAGATGCTATTATGCTGACTTGACGGTAATTCCAAAAGCTTCAAACCATACCAAGTTCGCACGATAAAAAGCGTGCACAAACACAATCGCTTGTGAAGGTGGATTGTCTTATCATACAGCTGATGACTTGTACAGTCTGTGATTGGTTGTTTAACACGTGACGCTTGTACAGTCTGTGATTGGTTTGTTTTCGCTCGCTTGTTCAGGTGTGATTGTCTTATCATAGGCAATTAACGGCACGCGACTTTTAATCACCTTTACGATATGTTATCCGTTAAGGGGCGATGATAAGGTCTTATCGAAATTAACCGCGTTGTGGACGATCAAAGGAAATTGTTTTATGCTGACTCAGGGACTCTCACGAAAGCGAGATTGAATCTGCTCCATATTTTGCATGTGCATTCATCATATCTCGGACAAGAAGCCTATTGAGTTTGGGCGAATTATGTCGTATAATCAGCAAGTTATTAATTAATTAGTGATGGGACACAAGGTGTCACTATGGAGTAAGAGCGCTTTTTTGGGGGTTCCCCTAACTTTCGATTGATAAGTATTCGGTCTCTGACCTATATTCTCATCTGCTAGTCATCATTCATTTTATAATTGTATGTAAACCTGCGCTTGCAAATTAGTAACATTTTCTTTCTTATTGCAGGCGAAGACTGAATCAGAAATTCTGAAAGGTAATTTGAATATTTTATTCAAAATCCTAAAGAGGAAATGATGGTTGAATAAAGCTAATCTGGAATTTAAATCTAGCAAGTTGCAGTTTTTTGACTGGCCAAGTCAGTGGTTCACAAACTATTCAAACCACGCCCCCTTTTTAGAGTTGGTTAATTCACACGCCCCACCTCCAGAATTACTAGATACCGATAAGCTACAAATAAAAGATAGTAAGGCGAAAGTATGTTTTATTCAAAAAACACGTTGAAAATATGTGGATGGAATCACAATCTCTGAACCAGGGTGGTCCAAACCCAGGCCCGCGGGCCACATGAGGCCCGCCACTTCATTATCTGTGGCCCGCGTCGCATTCGGAGATGAATCAAAAAATCGCATTTCGTGTTGTTTCGTCATAAAATTAACCAAAAATCTTTTTACATATTGTTGTATCACTAATGTCACTGAATTGACTGGTGTTATGGCTTGCTGAGGCAACTAGCGAAGTTAAACGGGCAAAGTTCTTGGCACTATTGTGGTCTGGGAACAATGCAAAAGTAATTTTGTGGCCCGCGGAGCTGCCAATCTTGGACCACCCTGCTCTAAACAATAATAAAATGTCAATATTCAGAATAAGGCAGGCAAGATCTAATCTAACGATGTTTTTATTTTTAATTAGCTTTTTCAAAAATTTTCTGTGCGCCTACAGTTTGAGAATGACTGGACTAATTTGTCAATTATCTTACTGGTCCTATTTCAGAAAAGTTTGTTCCAAAATCTAACTGAGTTTGAGCCTTTTTGTAACACTCAAATGAGCTAGAGCAGTTCGCTATGTGCCTCAATGCAACCCAGTGTCCGAACAAATTTATTTTTATGTCTCAAAGTAAAAGATTCATCTTCAAGCCACAGCTGTAAGCCACGTTATCTTATCTTTTCGTTTTAAATATATATTCGTTTATATTGAAATATTTCACTTCACAGAAACAAAGGCAAAGACACCGAACAAGGAATCGAAGAAAGCTACGCCATTGGTTAGTATTTGTTTAGTTCTTGGATAGTAAATAACTTTTGCAAAATTTGAACGATCGAAAATGTTTGAGCCTATCTTATTTAGCCTCTTGATCTTTATAACTAATAAAAATCCAATTTCTCCAAATGGCAAATAGTTCGTGCAGTTATCTTTGTAAAGGAGATCTCATTTAGGATATATTCGATGATAAGCCTCAACTTTATTAGGCACAAAATGGATAATTTTGAAAGGTCGTTGTCATTCTTCTGAGGCAGTGGTTCCTGAAGTGGCTCGTGAGCCACCCACGGCCTTTGTATCGATTTAATATGGCCCACCAAACTTGAGTGAAACAGTTTAACACCTTATGTTTTTTTCGTGTTCTAGATACTGCCAATTGTTACGTCATTATCACAGTTTAAGCATGTGTAACAATTCATTCGTAACCATTCAGTTCGGTACCTTAATAATTATACACACTGTTGATTACTGTTGTTGACCAGTATTGGCACTTTGAGAGCGCACTCCTCTCCTGGCCCGCGGCTATCCTTCAGCTTTTAATTTTGGCCCAGTCGATCAACCTTGGGAACCTCTGTTCTGAGGTTTTTTAAGGTTGTGAAAAAATCGCTTTTCTCTGCGACTGATAGGCTAATAATGGATTTCAAGTTTTCAGTGCTTAAAGATGAAAGCAAGCGCCAGAAGTCTATTATTTTTTTTTATAAATTTTTTCTTTCGAGTCTCATGGATTATTTGGATATAAGCAGTCAAGTGCTTTGATCTGTTATCCATCTGTTTTTGTACATGATTGACTCTTGTTCAAAGCAAGGTCTCAAGCTTTCAACGGTAACTGTATAAAGGCATAGATTTTAAATCCACAGTGCTTGGAGATGGAAATAGTCTTCCAGCACTATGCTTTTTTGTGAATCCATTGGGCTCGTTATTTCATTCAAAATTTGGTGCTCCCGAAGTATGCGAACCAAGATGGCGGACATCGGAACGTAACATGGGTAACAGGTTAGGGTTACGCGATATTTTTTCAATTTTCCTTATTTTAGTCCTATTATCAGTTCGAAGACTAGCCAAGAGCCTCCCGTAGTATTTTATACCTAAAATTATGGCCTAACCCTAACCTAGTACACATATTACATTCCGATGTCCGCCATCTTGGTTCGCATACTTCGGGAGCCCCCAAAATTTTGCTGTTGTATTTCAATTCATGTGAACACTTCTATTTTAAGTATGGGAACACTTTTTGTTTTTGTCCTGTTCTTTTATTTGAGCTTTGCTTTCTCATGTGAACACTTTTATATGATGATGTATGGAAATACATTATAAGACTTTTGTGTCCATATATTTGAGCATTGCTTTATTGTTTTCTTATTGATCTAAAGCCTGTTTTTTCACTCAGGTACCTGCACCTCCATCTCAGGCACCAAACCATCGTTAAGTAATGATCTGATTGCTGATGACAGCACAGGTGAGGTTCCTTATATTCACAAAATATACTTGGGTTAGGGTTGTGGTGATTTAGAACCGGTTCCAACGACAGTTTGTGAAAAAATTTCTTCTTTGAGTTCAACCTCGATTACAGAGTTAATCAAATTTTGATAGCGAATCTGAGCCTTATTTAATTATACATATTTATCCTGACTCATACTTCTACTAATACAGACATATTACTTTGACTGATTTAATAATTTCTTGTTAAGTTGTAATCGCTATTATCAGTAACAAATTTTTTTAGAATATTGGTTATATTCTGGACATAATCGAAAAAAAATAATCTCACACAAGGCTTTTTTGTTTGCTCATAAAAAATATTTCCAAATGTTTCGAATCTTATATAACTTCAGAGTCAGCCTTCTCAGACCCTCATACGACAGAGCATACCCTTACCCATGTGAAAAGACCTGGAGGGCCAAAGAATAGAAGAAAACCAGGGGCAGCAGAAAGGAGAGAAAAGGTAAAATACTCAAATATAGAAGTGCTAGGAAAATTTCACCTATTCAAATTCACCCTGAAAATTTATCAGAAACCTCTGGTCAAATAGGACATGGGCCTAGCCTCCACCAAATTTTTTCTAATGCACATTTGCAATGAGACATAAATTCATCTTTTCGGCACCTTTGTGCTCTATTCTTAAACGATTTACTGAAAGCCTCACATTCCTAGCCTTACCTTACTATAAAATAATCCTTTCTCCAAATGAACCAACCGAGATAGCTTGGATAACTACGACATCGAAGTATGTATGTAGAAAGATTCTTTAAGATATCGTTGGATGTCAGTGGCTGCTTCGTTCTGGCCTTGTTCAGAGCAAAACCCATGAGTAAGCATTGTGTAAAACTCGCCCCTCCCCCAAGTTTTTGGCTGGCATATGATCTTGATTAAGGATATCCAATATGATCACCCGGGACCGTCTCCAGCCATGTACACTGATTGACTATGACATCATCAATCACCATCCATATAATTGTAACATTTAACCTGGTAACTTTTTCTATACTTGACTAAGTTTGGTATCATTGAAAGATTCGTTATGAAACGGCCAACAATTCAGCAAACT